TTTTATGTTACGTAGACTTTATTACAATAAAAAAATAAATGAAGGGAATGGGGTAAAGGTTTCCAAGGTTCTGTTGACTCTGAAAGTCTGTGACTGTTCCTCCGCTTGGAAATTTCCTCCAAAATCAGCTTCTCCTTTCCAAGTGCTTTCTCTCCTTCCTCTTTCAGAGTTGTCTCCCACAAGATCCCAACCCTGTTCTTAACTCCCTGGGCTAAATATCCGATGGCGGGTGTGTGACCAAGGGTAACATCTACTTAGTCTCCGTGGTGGATGAGGCTGGCAGCATGCTGAATGGCTGGGGCAGAGGTGGAATCTTTTTAGAATGATGACAGCCTCTTACTCTGATGGATTGACCATCTCTGCTAGTGGTATTGGGCTTTTTTTTTTTTTTAAAGTTAAAATGCATGTCGTTAATTGGGCTTGACCTAAAAGCTGGGCTGAACATCCTTATCCAAGAAGAGAAAGGCCCAGGACTGAGAGGCCAGTTCGGGTCTTTCAATCCCATTCTGTGAAGGAGGCAAGGTGGCAGCCGGAGCTGTGGGGCAGGTATAAAAACTCAAGCATTGACACAGTCCTCAGATAAATTTCCAGGGGTGGTATGGATGTGGGAATCTGCAAGCTGGGTCCTAAAAAACTCCACCCAAGCCCAGAAAGGATTCAGCCTTATTTGAGAAAGGCATTGGCTAAAAGAGATGCAGATGCTGACCATGGACACTTGAGACGGGCTCCAGTGTGGGGTTTCAGGGCAGACACTGGGTTAAGGGCAGGACTGAGGAAGCTGGTGGGCGTGTGATTCTCAGCCCAGCAAAAGGCACTCAGCAGTCTAAGCTGTACTGGAAAAAATGAATTAATATGAACCTGTTTCCAAGGCACACTAGTGTTTGATTTCCAGTTTGATTGGGCTCTTCGTCCATGTAGAAACATTTCCTTCACATACGATGCCTCTTTTCTCTCCCGCCCTCAAAGTTTAATCAGTGCAAGGTGAAGAAGTAAGCTGAACTATGGACAGACACTTGTCATTTTTAGAACAGGTTTCCGTGGGGCATGGTCATGGATCAGCAGGAGGCTAGGCCATGAGGGGATGGCATAGACCTAGAGCCAGTGTGCAGTGGCTGCCAGTGTAGCTTGCGCTGCTGGGAACAGGGGTTGTACTTGAGAAGAGTTACAAACAGGGGAAGGAAAACAATGGAAACATTAGAGAAGAAGTGCCTCCCTTTACGTAATTGGGTGTTCCTGGAAAGTTCTATAAATTGGATTCCTAGGATTCAAGGTGCTTAATTTTCTCTTAATTAGCTTTCAAGGATAATTAAGAAGCAAATTAATATCTCCCAAAATACTATGGTGAGACATATGCAAGCCTGAGGGGAGCAAGCAGCCAGTGTGTAAGTAAAGACCCCAGGAAACTCCATTAGCTGAGAAAAAGTAAAGAATGCTTTGGTGACATCATTCTCTTGGAGGCAGGATACAAGAGCCTATACACAGCTAGGGCTGGTATCAACATGCTGGCGTGAGGTTAAGGGCGGTCAGTCAGCAGGCAGGATTTAGCATTTGGAGACCTAGCACTCAGTGAGCATAAGGCGCATGGCGCCAGGATGTCAGCTGGGTTTCCAGGAACAGAGGCTTGCAGCCCGGACTTCAGTTAAGAGCACAGGACACTCTCCCAAAGACACAACACCTATGGTAGCATCAAGTACAGAAGACAAGGGTGAGGTCGGGGGCCAGGCTTGGTCTGATCATTCGGTATAATGCCCAAAATGATCCTATTAGCAGTGAGTTGCCCTCACGAAGTGGCTGCCCATTTATATTTCAAGTTGGGTCTTTAAGGCGTGGCTCTCTTCAGCTCCTAGCCGTGTTCTTCTTCTGTGATGTATGTTGTAATAAGGGTCTATTTAAGAAGCGCTCGAAAAGTCTCAACTCGTGAAACAGATTGATTTTCTATGTCGTATTTGTTATTTGTGTCTGAAAATACTAAACTAGCCAAGATGTTTGTTTTCCCTCCACTTGCTCATACGCTCAGAGTTAACTTGGAGCTGGTCACATGTTCAGAGTCATGAGGCTTAGAAAGGTCTATATCAGGGGTTCCCAACCCCTGGCTCATGGACCAACACAGGTCCATGGCCTGTTAGGAGCCAGCAGGAAGTAAGCAGTGATTGTGTGAGCAAAGCTTCTTCTGTACTTACAGCCACTCCCCATTGCTTGTATTACTGCCTGAGCTCTCTGCCTCCTGTTAGATCAGCAGAGGCATTAGATTCTCACAGGACTGCAAACCCTATTGTGAAATGAGCATGTGAGGAATCTAGGTTGAATGCTCCTTATGAGACTCAAAGGCCTGTCATCTGAGGTGGAGCTGAGGTGGTGATGCTAGCACTGGGGAGCAGCTGCAGACACCGATTAATGTTAGCAGTGAGGTTTGACTGCATATCCCTCACCCGCCCATCTGTGGATTCATTGTCTTCCACAAAATTGGACCCTGATGCAAAAACAGTTGGGAACTGCTGATCTATATGGAATCTACAAGGGCTGCAGGCACACCTACTATGAAAACGTTGGATGGACCAGAATACTTGCAGCTTCCAAACACATGCCTCCTTGAGGATTTTGGTCAATTGAAATTTTTGCCTAAAGGAAACTTTATGCCTCAACTGTATTTGAAAACATTTTGGATATGCATCAACACAATTTTTGGCTTTCTTCTGTTCAGCATGAACATTCTCAGATCTTTACTTATGCACCCCCTTACCACCTCCCAGGGACCCATCTTACTCAGCCCACGCAAAGTACTAAAAGCTTTGGATAAATAAGAACCTTAAAAATGTGTTCCGTTTGCAAAGCAAGGCTAAGGTGTATGCACATGCGTGCTTTTTCCTATCTAAACGCAGAATGGAGCATCTGTGATGCCAGTTAACTTTCTTTTTTTTTTTTTT